ATGTCAGTTAGATGACAGATGTAGACTGGGACAAAACTGATTTAGGGTAAAACAAATATAGTATTTAACATATATAAAAGCCACCATATACAGCAAACTGAGATACATAAAGTCAGGAATAGGCACAGAAACCAAGAACTGTGGGTGTTACAGCTCTAACTGCACAATTATTTCTTTTTCTGTAAAAATAACTATGTCTAGACTAATAACGATTAGACTGTGAATAATACAATTGCATTAGCAATAAATTCTTGGGTTCAGGTATATTTGGATGTGCCTTTTTTTTTTTCCTATAAAACATGATTTTGAGCATAACAACGGCGTCTTCTCTGTTAAGATTTCTAGTTCAAATAGAATTACAGAACTGTTAGAGTTAGAAGGGATCTTTAAAGGCCGTCTGTTCAAGTTCCCCTGGAAGGAATGGGGTCACCTGCAGCTAGATGTCACCTCATATTTGTGGTGGCCTAGGATAAGGAACCAACAGGCTCCACTGACATTTTAAAGAACCAAAGTCCACCGTACCAACCCCCACATCAACAATTTCAACCATGCATTCAAGAAGTCACAACCCTGTAAAGCCTCAAGAAACAAAAGCCACAGCTGCTCCAAACAACGTCATGTATCTTGAATGCACAAAACAAATTACTGCAAACCTCACAGCAGGCTGAGTAAATGTCCCGGTCCTGCTACTGCTATCCTACCACAGACAGCAGGATCTCCCAGTTACACACACTGGGACATGGAAGATTAGCAAACACTGTGGCATTAACAAACAGCTTGGGAGCATTTCCTTGTTCTGCGCTAGTTCAAGATAAGTTGCTGTGTCTTATCCTGTAGTCTGTACAATAATAATGGGGTGATGCTGCCACACACAGAGAGCATAAACACTCTCAGGAAGTGGGAAAAGAGAATGGTCACAGCAGCCATCACCAACACAGAGGTAAAAGGTTTTGATCTCCATGGAAGTGTACAACAAAAGTAATTTATTTTAACATTCATGAGGAAAAACTATAAGAGGACCCAAGAAGCGTCCATGAGGTTTGAGTTCACCCAAATCAATGGCACTTCTTGCTGTAATGCATGAACATTTAATCCCAAAAGAGGGAGAAGAGAAGAAAGATGCATTTTTATTCATTCTCAGAAAGCTTAAGTTCCCTGCCCCTCTGATATTCTCGAAACACAAAGTTTGTGTTCACCTACTAAGCAGCACTCAGGGACAACTCTAACAAGCAGAGGAAGGTTGAAGTCATCTCCCACAATGCAGAGAGGTCCCAAAGTTCTGCCAAGAAGCCCTTTACATCTGAAGACAGAGCATTAAGGCCATCAGAGATCCGAAAGCAAATTCAGACCTTCCTTCTGCAGAACCAGAGGCCATCAGAATGTTTTTTTGGAGGATCAACTTCTGTTTTGATGACATCATTTATTTTTATCACTTAGCTTTATTTTTGTCTAAATCTTGCTGGTTAGAGAGTCAGCTGATAGACTGCAAAGCTGACAGCCTCATTACTGAAGCATATAAATTGCTTTTGCTCAGCTGGAGTTAATGTAGGACCATCTGACTTCCCAGAATTGACATTTTAATGATTCTGTTTCTCTGGCACTTTTTCATTGACCACTACAAAAATCTAAACTGTCTCTTTGCTTTGCCAAGCTGCCTGTGGATCAAGTTCTCCAGAGATTTTCAGCATGTCAGCCATCAGACCAGGTAAACCCAGTAATAACTGAGCTGAGAGTACCTACTCCAGTACTTCTCCCTGTTCTGTACTACGGATGTTAGAGATAAATCTCAAAGTTCTGAAGGCCACAGGACAGAAAATCTCCCCAGGAGAAGGATATGCGTGAAACATTTTAAAGATGAAAAATGCCAACTGTAAAAGTTTGGTACTTATTGAACCAAAAAAGTAAGGAGAATCAAGAAGAAATAACATTTAATCTCCGTTTAAGAGAATCACGACAGAATCAAACACGAGGCTGACAAAATTGACTACCGTGGGTATTCTGCAATTTGCTTCAGATAGGTTTTCAGTTATCTCCTAGAGAAACTTTAATAAAGCATCTGCAGTAACTTTGCAGGATCTGCTGCAATCTATCAAGCTGATTATCTGCAAACTGAAGTATACAAAGTCATGATGTTCTAGCTGCAGAACTCACTGCCTTGTCTCCTCTTGTGTGCCCTTATCTTCCACCTTTCTTCAGGTCTTCCCTTGCAGTGTCATATCCCAGGTTAAACAGAACAACATCCCTCTCTAAACTATAATTCGTTTGTACAGAATGTGAAATTAGTCACTCCTTGTGGAACCCCAAGGATGAGCTCTGCACCTTCCTTCCTATTTCCAAAACTCACCATGAGCTGAGACAGGCAGGAGCAACATGCCCTGACCCAGCTGAATTGAGACAAACTGCAGATCCACCTCCTCCAGGGCTGTGATGAGGCAAGTACAGTGGTTAAGAAGTCATCTTAAAATGAAAGTCAAGTTACTTTCAGCTTTAGAAGAAAAGCACTTAAAGGAAATGGATTTCAGAGAGCTAGATTTAGTTGAGAAAGCACTTTGAAGAAGAGGGTTTCGAAGAGTCCATGAACTTGTCCAGCAGATTCAAAGTCTTATAAGCTCTGTACAATAAGTCTGGTATGTCCAGATGCCCCAGCAGAACAATGTGGGCAGTTCTTTTGGTCTCTTGTCAAGTTTGGTGAATTTCTTTCATTCTTAACAACACACCTCCTGCTGACACAAGCTACACACGTTGTCCATCGTTCATGTTCTCTTTTGAGTGCTCCTGATAACACACCACACAAAGCAGCATTGAACAGGGCCAGGTACAGGGCATCTCCCATTCCCCACTCCCAAAAAGGACACTCTGAACACTCAGTTCAGTTCCTTGCTCGACCTCAGGTTTTTGGTATGAGTTCATACATGTTCTTGGTTTTCTTTGTGCCTCTGTCTGAAACAGATCGTTTCCCTTCCCCTTAAAGAACACTGTAGAAGGGGAAGGAAACAATATCAAAGGGTCATTTAGGTCATCTAAATAGAGAAAGAAGAAATGACTCTTTATGTAAGTGTTTACCTGATAGAAAAAGACGGGTGATGGGGGAATCCAAAGCAAAAAAGACTGATTCCATTACTCCTTCTCTCTTCTCCTCAAATTAGCACAGTAACCGAAGTTCCATCTACTTTTTAAAGACAGTATCAGCTCAGCTTCTCCCTCCTGACTGCAACAGCTCCAAAATGAAGGCAGTCCGATCTATTTGGACACACAACCCAGCCAGGCACTTACAGACAGCACAGAAGTTCACACCTACTCTGTCCTCCAGGTGCCTGGCTCAGCACTTGGCAGCTGACCCAACCTGACAAGCTTCGCAGCAGGCTTTTCCAATTTGCACAAGGATAAATAAAATATAAGTGAGTTACAAAAAAAAAAGTCTCTGGCCACATGATTTATTCCATATCTGAAATTTTGGGAAAGACAGCTTTTTCAAGAAAAAGAGGAAAGGTGGTAGAAGATGAAGGCTGCAGGATGAAATAATATAAAACACAAGAATAGAGCTGAGTCCTTATGTTCAGAAAAAGCTGTCTAGAAAATACTGTAAGGAGCATTCTCCAACAAGGTTCTGCTCTAGGCAAGGAGCCCTCGCATCCCTGAGGAGGAATCAATGCCATCTTCCTCCTCTTCCTGCGTGCTACATGGGCACACACCTTGGAGTTTCTCAAACACTGCATTTCTTGACCACAGCAAAGCACTGGTACCCTCAGCCAGGACTGATTGATCCAAAGGCAGAGCCATCCATCCTGCTACACACAGTCCTGACCCAGGCAAGTAGTTACAGTGTTTTGAGTACAAAAAATGTGTACCTTCCTTAAAGGCACCAAAGATCCTGCACCAATGAAACGTGTAGAATAACAGCACAAAGCTACCAAAGCAACTCTTATCACAACCCCATGTTTTCTACACTCTTCCTCCAAGCATGGTCACGTAGCTCTCTAATACAGCTTCTCAAAGCCAACCAGAAAGTCATTAAAGACTTAGAATTACTTCCCTTGCACAGCTCCTGCCCAGTCTGGCAAGTTAACAGGACGTGTGAAACAGATCTGACTTGCAAATCATCCAATATAATGTTTTCCAAGAAAGAGTTAGTGGGACAGCAGATATCAGGCCTGATGCAACCTCAGTCTGCCCTTGGAGAGCAGCCCTCCCACAGGGCTCTTTAAATACGCTCTTTGATTTATTTCAAAGGAAGCTAACAATGCTTAAGCTCAATGCCCAAGGAAATGGGACTACATGGAGAAAATTAAACACCTATGGGAAGCAACAGTTCATATGACTCAACATGTAAAAGGGGCTTGGGGTTTCTGCAGTTGGTGAGCCTCTCTGTACAGCGAGATCATTAAGAGCCACGCACATTTTCTGTATGGATGTGGTTCAGCTCTCACTGATTCACCTTTCTAGGCAGAATAAACTAACACAGCCATAAAGCACAGGCTCTACACACGTAGTGGGAATAAACTGGTTAATGCTTTACATGGGCCTTAAGGGTTTGTCTTGTTTAATACTTTCACCACAGGGTCCCAAGATTGGACAACAAAACCCTGAAGAAATATCAATGGTGCCCTCACAGGACTTGTATGCCAACATACTTCAAGCAAAAGGAATTAAAATCTCCCTGTACTGTCTCCTTTCTGTCTCCTTTCACTATGACACCAGGATTGCAGCATTAAAATTTCAGCTGAGACACACAGCACAGCTCCAGGAATGATGACCAGGCCTGGAGTATGCAGAGAGCTTCTCTCCCAAGCTAAAGCCACAGGACACATTGTTTGGGACTCATTCCAATTTGACCAGTTGTTTCTGGAGCCAGGGTTTTCTCAGAAACACAGCTGCTCCACGTTTAGCCAAGTGTGTTGGAGGCCTGCTGAGACCTCCCAGCACAACGGGCTGTCCCATACAAGATGAAGAGGAGACATGTCCTCCATGAGGGTAAGGGAAGAAATGGTTTATTCACTCACCCAGACCCTGGTTCTGCTGTTCCCACTCAATGGTATCAGGAACCTGGTAGGACACCCCGGCCAGCTGGGCTGCAGGGTTCTCCAGGCCAGCTATGGGCTCCTGGGAGGTTTCGCCTGGAAGTGTGAAGCCTGGCAGCTCTGTGTCACCCTCCATGCTTTCATCCATGGAATCTATCTCTTTGTCCTCTTCATCTTCCTCTTCCTCCTCTTCTTCTTCCTCCTCCTCTTCATCCTCTTCCTCTTCCTCGGCCTCTAGTCAAGAAGACACAAAAGCAATATCAGGAAAGGTCCCACAAAACAGAAGGTTCATACATCCCTATCAATGAGTTCATAATCCCCTTTCCAAAGCCACCTTAACAAAGCCCTGCCTGTTTTCTGACATGAGAGACACCCAGAGAGGTTGATGTGGAAGACCCCAGTCCTGTCTCAAGTTTCTGCCTCCACCCTGTTCCTGACCACAGCTACCAGCAGAGAAGAGCAGCTATAAGAACAGAGCATACACCCAGCAGGGCTTCCCACAGTGCCTCTTCCCAGCTTTTAGTTACAAGGACCCAAGATCTTCCTTGGATTATTCCTCTATGGAATAATGCCATGCTCTGCATTTTCAACAGTTAACTTTTCAATGCCAAAAAGATAAAGCACAGCATTTATGTGCTTTGATGATCCAGCCAAAGTGGTGCAATGCATTGGAGTAGCTTTGATAGGAGACCTGTGGAATGTACACAACATACCTGCTGTAAGTAAAGCAAGCTGCACCTTAGCAATTGCATGATGCTTCACTCTTCTCTCTTCTGCTGTGGGATGCATTGGCACAGCTGCCCCTCAGACTAACTTAGGGAACTTTGGGGAATCTATTCAGTGTTGGGTATCCATCTTACAGATGGAACTGGCCTAGGGAAATCAATGCACATTGAAAAGCCGCTGTGATGTTCACTGTGCTGTTACATGGTGTTACCTGTTGCCCAAGGAGGCTGTGGATGCCCCATCCCTGCAGGCATTCAAGGCCAGGCTGGATGTGGCTCTGGGCAGCCTGGTCTGCTGGTTGGCGACCTGCACACAGCAGGGGGTTGGAACTGGATGAGCATTGTGTCCCTTTGCAACCCAGGCCACTCTATGATTCCATTATAATTTCTTCCAAATCAAAGATTTGCTTTAAAACACAGCATGTTTTTTTTCAGCTCGCAAGACAGGACAATTGCACTTGCCACCTTTCAGTTTTAGCCTTGCATTTCATACAAATGAGCTGCTCTTTGAATTTAGTTGCATCATCATGTTCTAGCATGTCTTTCAGTATCTGGAAAAGAAGATCCTGCAAACAGTTATACCATGCAGAGCACTGAATGGAGCTTACAGGAACGTAGTTAGACTCTTACATTCCCTTTACACTTTAGAAATACATTCTATTTTACTACGTGCCCATGATCTTAAATCAAGATAAGAATTTTCTCCATTAAACTATATGCTTTCATACAGAATACACAGCCTCTGTGCATCTGAGCATGGCACCTGAAGAATGTCTGAGGAAGCCTGCAAAGATAAGTTAAAGTAGGTCTTGTGCCTCTGCTGAGGCACAACACAGCTGTAAGCAAAAGATTTCCCAAATGAAACAGCAAAGGTGCTAAGCAGCCAGCACTCTGGAGAACATGACCATGAGCACATTTTCCCTGAATGGACTGGGTGGAAAAAAAAAAGGTCAGAGAAAACAGCAATCAGATTGTATATGAAAATGTACCTTGGAACAAGGTTTTTAGAAGGCTCCTGTGATTTTAGCAAGCTAATTAGAGACACCTGCCAGGAGCTGGCTTTGAGAAAACAGATATCCATCTCTGTACTTCCAAACTCCAGCAGGCAGCCAAGATGAACACCTGAATTGAAAGTGCCAAGACTACTTATCATGCCTGAAAATCACCCAGCTTCATCCATCACCCCACAGCCACAGCACGAGGATGAGGATAGCACAGCGCTCACAGCACAGCTGCACCAAGGGGAAAAAAGGGCTCATTCACATGACTGAAATCAGCTTTGTGACCCCCTGCCCCAAAATACCATCGGCTTGCCTTGATGCAAGGCACAGTGCAGAGCACCACTTGGTGGTCACAGATAGGAAACTGTGCTTCTAAAGAAACGCAGACCACATGTGTTAGAGCTCAGGGGTACACAAGGAGGATGGCAGGCACAGGCAGGCTGCTTACAGCACCCACTGGTCTCAGCAGATAGGGAAGAATGCATGCTAGGATGACAGGAAATGGCCTTAAGCTGCACCAGGAGAGTTTTGGGTTGGATATTACAAAACATTTCTTCTCAGAAGCAGCAGTAATAAATTGACACATGTTACCCAGAGAAGTAATCAAGAGTGGAGCTGCACTCAAGGATCTGGTAAACTGGGATGGGTGAACTGTTGGTCTAGATGATCTCAGAGGGCTTTTCCTTCCTTAGTGATCCTATAATTCTGTGTGTCACACAGCCAGACCCCAAAAGCTGCAGGTTCATGTGTCACATCAGAGCCTCTTTGCAAAAAGATGTTTTACCTCCTAAACCAGTCTGGCTTGGCACTTCAGAGATCTCCACAGCCACTCCAAAGAGGAGACCGAAAGGACCAACACTGCAAAGCCCAGCAGATGTGGACAGCATTTAGATTGATGTGTAAACACATCAGCATCCCTTCTGAGTTAGTTACTTTGTGGAGCATGCTTGCAAGTATTCAAGGCTAAGCTAAGGTTCTCCTTACACAGGAAGCAAGATAATCATACAGTGGAACGTAGCCCATGGCCAACATGCTAATCTCTAATAAGGAGATGCAAATAGCTCTCCTGGTACTTGTGTGACATTATTCAAATCATGCACTCAAGTGAAGAGCAGCTGTAGGAGCACTTCTGCACACCTGGCACTCCTTTGCCAACCAGAACAGACAGAACTGGCACAGTACTCCTACTGCAAGTTCATCTTGCTCTGTAGACCTTCTTCAGTGTCTTCTTGTTTCCTTAACATTCACCAAATTCTAGACATCACGTGTCATGTGCAATGTGACCCTAAAAAGGCTTAAGTAGAGTAAATCCTGTCTCCTTTCACTATGACACCAGGATTGCAGCAGCAAAATACCATCCATTACATTCCTATTTCCTCCTGCAGTATGGGTGATGCATAAGCAGACAATGGGAGAGTTACCTCATCTCCACATGTTGATAAATGCAAAATCTGACCCTCTGACAGAGACTAAATAAGCACTGTGTTCTGTAACGGGCTCAGTTCTGCCTCGACTGACACAGAGGAAGAAAAATTGAGAATTTTAACACTTCCCTGCTGTGACAGCAATGCAATCTAAGCAGCAGGAATCCCCATAAAAATGAGATTCCTGCTTCACCTGTCAACAATTTTGGTTTTGAAGGACCTGACAACCTTGTAACAGGCATTGAAACATTGAGTTTTTGAGAAGTTAGAAGAAGGCATCAAGAGAAGCATGAGACAAGTTTTTTTTGCAAGCTTCCACCTTTATTATTTGCCAGAAAGAGCAATGGTTCAGTTTTACTATGGGGCACCCGCACCACTGCTGAAACCCATAGCACAGGAGGCTGCTACCCATGCCTTTTAGATATTTTCCCTTAGCGTTTAAACATCACTGTCATGCTCCCTGGAACAGGTTGCTTAAGGAGGTTGTGGATGCCCCATCCCTGGGGCATTCAAGGACAGGCTGAATGTGGCTCTGGGCAGCCTGGTCTGGTGGCTGGTGACCCTGCACATAGCAGGGGGGTTGAAACTAGATGAGCATTGTGATACTTTTCAACTCAGGCCACTCTATGATTTTAAGTGTTTTCACCCTCCACCAGACTTAAAACGTTGTTTGCTAGAGTTTGTGCACAGCAGAAATATCCTTCTACTCTATGAACAGCACGGCTCACCAGAAGGGGACAGCTTGACTTTCACAGTGAGCTCAAACAAACTATAAGAAAAACCCTGTAAAAAGTTGCAAGACAAAACATGGAGGTCTCAATCTCTGTTCTTTGCACCAGACCCAGAGGACCCAGTGATGTCTAGAGTAATGCAAAGCATCATTAGAGTCCACAGTAGACTTAGGCTGTGATAATACCAAGTACTCAGCACTGTAGGGATTGAATGCCTATGAGCATCTGATGAGCACCAAATTTGCACTCAATCAGAAGCCAGTACCAATTAGCTTCCAGTAGTGAGCCCAGTTCCCATCACTTCACGAAAAATGTAACCTTTGCTCCTGTGCCAGCACTGAGCAAAGCAGCTCAAGAGCTGAGCTACCACTTCAGGGAGCTACAAGGCAGGCCTAACCCTATCTGAACACAAACTAAGAGGGGCAAGAGAGCACTACAGAACACTAACAGCCACCTGACAGCAACCCACAGGGATGTTATCCAGCACAATTCTACTTTTCAAGAAGTCTTGGCTTGCCAAACACACCAGGAAACTCAAGGGACCTTACAGAATCATAAGATCACCAACACTGAATAAGACCTCTAGGATCCTCCAGTCCAACCATTCACTTATCACCAACATTCCCCACTAAAGCAGCCCCTCAGTACAACCTCCACACATTTCTTGACAACAGTGGCACACAGCACAGAAAACAGGAGTGAGTAATTAAGGACAAGACTGGGAATGAGGGGTGCATGACTACAGGAAAGGAAGATGCATTTAGAATCTTTAGTGCATTCCACTAAAGAACTTCTTTCAGTAAACTTGTAGTGTGGGAACACAGCCCATTTTCTGCACTGCTTTTGTAATCACAGATAGCTGTCAAGGCAGAAAGACCTTTCTAGGAGAACACTTATTAATCAATTGCTTTCATGTGATCAGTGATAATGCCACCATCTGATGTTTCTAAAGTGCTGCCAAGAGCTAGCACTTGTGACAAAGCCCAGCTTGGAAGGAGATGACTGGCAGGAGAGTAGAAAGGCTCTAACCCTGCCCAGCTTTCTGGATTGCATAGGGACACCTAAAAAGGGAGTAGAAGCTGACCAGGCTCTGAGTTGCACAAACACCTGCTGTGAAC